TAGTCCAATTATTACAATAAAATATTTATTTCACAATCGTTGAAGTTTTCGTATTCGATAAGCCTACTAATTTTAATACATATATTTTTTTTACCTGAGTGTAATAGCAAGTCGTTCTTCTGGCGAAATAGCTTCACGATAATTTGTGTCAGATTTTCGTATTTCATCTTTCACCAAGTTCAATATTTCATCGAAACACTCTGGAGTCATTCTAAAATATACGTAAAAGCGCTGTTCGTCCAGCCGAAGTTGTGGCATCAAGGTATGGTATTCCCCAAATTTATTTCGTTCCAAGTTAATATCATGTACCCACTTCCTTCGTTTCCTAAACAAAATTGAAAATATTTGTTTTATGTACTTCGTTAAACTTAATACATACCCAACTATCAAATGGCGTTAAATAAACATAACTTACCGTGCATTTTGTTTCTCTTCTAAAGCAAGAAATAGAAGTGCCTCCTCTTCTTCTGAAGACGAGCTCATTGCAAAAGGCAAAAATAAAATGCACGCAACCTGTTGAAACCTTCACGTTCGCGGAGCGAATAAGACGCTTTGGTATGAATAAACAGGCGAAACAGATTGCGAATTTCGCTCTGAATTTCGTTGCGAATACTTCGCCGCGATTATTTCGCGCCGGTTTGTGGGATGCTTAAAGATCATCTGTTAGATTTTGAAACAATGCACCCTTTTGAGATACTGAATCTTTGCGAACTATCAATTGTAACTTTGCGAAATGAATCATATTCGTAATTCATGTACGTATCTCTTCTTGACCGTAAAAACTTACAGTGTTTTTGAATTGTATCCGTTAATTATAAGGAATGAATTAATAAAGATCCCAAGCAATTTTACTTTGTAATTTGAAGAAGAAAGATTTTGCTCCAATTTAATCAAACTAAGAAACAATCCGCATTTATGTTTTTAATTACTAAACAGGCACATGTAAGCCATCTATGTTGGAAAATTGTCCTCAACTTTACTTAAAATACTATAAATACTAATATTTCAATTGATATTAAAGACTGCAAGCAGATTGAATTATCATTGCCTTTACTTGAAAGTAATTTTAGCTTTTTAAATCCTTCTTATTACCAAAATCATTTGGAAATAATAGTTCATACTAAGTTGCAAAACCTTTCTTACGACTCTTACAGCTTTGGAACCATATTGTAACTGTAAATTAAATTTTCTCCAAGTTGGAGACCAACTTTTCGTAGGAGGGAGGAGTTATGGAATCCTGTTGGTAACGTAACTATGTAGTACAAGCCCATTATTCCAACAAATTGAATTGTATGGTAAGCAAGCCCTTTAAGAAATACTTGCTTTTTACTTCTTTTTTTTTTCGATACAGCTCTGTTATTTTCCTATAAAGATTAGAATTATATCGAGGCACAGACAGATTTTGTTCAATACTTGTAACCACTCTTCGTTCCTGCAATAAAGTCTGTTATTTTTTTACCATACGACGTGTGCATTCTTTATCTTATATTATTGCTGTAGCATATTGTATAAGGAAAAAAGTAAGGAAACTTAAATGTTTCAATCATTTTATTAAGAAATTCAAATCTCAATACTGAAAGTTCTTAATTGATTTGGAACCCCAACTTAAAAGGGAAAATCTATCAAACGTATGGCATGTGAAAGGAAAGCATTTTCGGGCTGAAAAAGAAATATCAAGAATTATACTGGTTTGATATTTGAAACACTCATGTGAAAAGGAGAGTTTGTTAGTTATGACAGAAACAGTAAAAAAAATCTTTGGCTCAAAAGTGTGCATTTACCTCTTGTACTACTAGAAGCTGCAATTCAGTGTGTTTCCTAACTGTACATGAGTGACGAATATTCTTCTTAAAATGGACTCAAAATTACCCCCTTAAATATAGACATTCAATTAGAACACACCCTGTATATTTTATGTAAGTAAATTAAAAATTAATAAAGGTTATTGTGATATACTGTTGTAGTTTTTCATTTTTGATATATTGTTCTTTTTTTCTACATATTCATAATTCCTGTAATTAGTTGTACCTTTTGGATATAAAGTCATGATTGGATTGATGATACTTACGTTTTGACATACTACGTATGAGTTCATTAACAATTTCATGTATTATACTTTTCAGATGGCAAGTATTTGTGGAATGTGAATAAAAGCATCATTGGTAAAATCAATATTTATTTAGAAATATAATAGGTTCTTTCAGAAATATATGGAAATACAGATTTCATCAATTTGTAATTCTTCTTTTCTCTTAAAACAGATGTTTCATCATGATGTTAAGAATATTGTATGCTACTTTCAAAATTAGAAGCTCTACAAACAAAACACTGTGTGGACAAACAATTTAAATAGATCGACTCTTCTTTTTCCTCTAATAACGTGCCTTACACTAGAATTATTCTGTCCTGCAACAGTATCTTGTAATCTCGGCTTCTCAGGATGTGATGTATCTTTGAGCAATGCAAACAGACCATAGGATAGAGATCGTAAACCACGCAATCCTTTGTGAATCGAAAGCGTTTTTGAAATTCTTGGTCCCTATAATGCTCCAGCTGATTCGACCTATCACGAATATACCTCCTTGGTAAATGAAGTAGAGGGGTTGAGGACCTCTGGGAGTGCTCACCCGATTCAAATAAATCACGTTCTGCCAGTTTCACTTATATTTATCACTGCAATAAGCATACGATATAAAAAGCCGACTACAAGTTTCAAATTTGAACTGATGTTAAAATCGGTTGACTCAAGAGCGAATGTGGAGGGGGCACGGGACGAAACAAAGAAACCAGCATAGCCTCAAAGAGATGCAATATCACGTCCTACCCTATTTGATAGAGATGGGCGGTTATTGATAAAAAGCCAGTTGTGGATTAATCGGATATTTTTCTAAAACTTGCATTGACAAATTTAGACGTCGGTACAGAGGGGAAGGTGGTAAGTATTGGAGATTGAAATATTAATACGGGGGTATATCCAGAATGCCTATATGCATTACAGTTAGAAAAGAAATTGAACTTTCTGATCTAATAACCGCACATTATAAAATAACGTGTTGAACAGGCCGATCTAAGAAACCGGTTATCCAAATGACAAGTTATCTTTGTCCATCTCTACTACCTACTATTTTGATTCATGAATAGGTTAAACTTTGTGGATTAAACTGCGTAAGGGACATATGTTTTCATATAAAGCCAATCCTTTCTTTCTCGTCAGTTTACCATTTGATTCGTAACGTTCAATTCGACTCTCGGTCGAAGCATAAGTACCGAGCTTTAGGCAGTCAGGCTGGTGGAACATGTACCCAAAGGATTCACCCTCAACTTGAGTACCTGCATCTTGCTTTTGGATATCTCAAAAACCTTTGACAACGTGTAGCAGGCGGGTCTCCTCTATAAACTAATACAAAATTGTTTATCTTTTTCGTTACTAACAACTGCTAACATCCTGCGTCGAAGGAAGTTTCAGATCAAATTTAACGTTTTCTCAAGGTTCGGTCCTAGAACCAATACCTCACTCGCTTTTTACTCACCAACTGTGGTGTGAAGTCTCCCTCTATGCTGACGCCACTGCGCCAGACAAGTACTGGTAATCTGGTTCACGTCAGATTATAAGATGCAAAGGAGGAAGTACTAGAGTGGGCGGAACGATGGCTGATTTGATTAAAAGTAATCATTCGAAAACATAGGTATTGTAGCACAAAAGGTCGCGGTCCCCATTCGAAGTTTCGGCAGACGGTAGTCGTGTACAATGAAAAAATTCTGTCATGAACCTCAGGGTCACCCTTGATAATGGCTTGACCTGGCAAAAACATACAGCAGCATTGAAAACAAAATTCCAAATTACTTTCAGCAACTATATCCCTTGATATGTAGCAAAGCAGTTTGAATAAAAGTTATTTTTTTTTCAGTGTTTCTTTTTTCATACAATGTTTTTATTCTTCCTGGGCACAGTTTACATGAATTATCCCCTTTTATAATTAAAAAATAATTGGGAAAAAATTTATTTATGTTTCCTAACTGACGATCTATTAAATAAGAAACGTTCTTTGAGTTGTTCGAGTTCCAGCAGCCTCTGAAAACGTATTTATATCTGAATAACCGTAAATTTTTAACTAACTTTGGTGCATAGCGTGCTCTTATTTTTTAAGAGTTAGTTTTTGTTAAACATGCAACTGGACGTACCTACCTAGACTGTCCATTAGCTTATTTCATATCAAAATGGATTTTGCTCTTTAAAGAATCTGCCCCTTTATCCAAAGGTTGACAGTCTACACTATTCAAATTCTATAAGTAAGAAAAGTACTATCACAGGGATCATTAAGCACCACTTTAATATGTTGTACAACACTGTCAAGAAAGTAAAATGCTGGGACCTTATTGGAATCTATCAGACATCTTCTGCTTGTAAGCAGCCAACTATGTCTCTCAGTATTATCTTACTTTTATTTGCCAAAATAACCTGGAAAAGGTTGTGTTTTTCCTCTGAAAAGGTATATTGCAACAGATTATTTCACAGTTCCTTTTTTTTCACATATACCAAATTCTGCTTTTTACATCAGTGCTGCTACTGGAAATTAAACTTCTTATCAATGTAAAGCTAGGCCTAGTTTTTCCTATTGATAGCTCACCAGATTGGTTTTATTGTTTTTAACTATATGGGTATATTTTTGTCTATTATTAATGCATAGCAGGGTTGAACTTCAAATCAAACTGAATTCGTATACACAGAATATTCAAATATTTGAAATTGACAGTTTGAACTTGATTATATATTTTTGAATGATGGTAAACAGATTAGGTTATTTCCAAAAAATAAGCATTTTTCATTATCTCCATTAACCATTCTTTAGAAAATGTTGAAAATTGAAGTTCTCCGCAATTCGATTCAAGGCTTTGTTTTTGCCCTGAGGCTGACTGCATCATTTTTCTTACTTCCAACCATATTGCAGTATTGCTTATCATGGTCAGCAGCTGAAGCTTTTGTTTTTGACGAATATTTTTCTTTTGTAGTCTGCATTGTCAACAGGAACTAAAAACCACAATTTATACACATAATATATACACAGAACATTCAAATAATTGAAATGGACAGTTTGAAGTTTTGATACGGTACATTTTCATTACAGCTTCCCATTTAAAAAAAAACCTTTTCTGCTTATATCAGTATAATATATATATATATATATATATATATATATATATATATATATATATATGCCCACAAGGCTAATATTGTAAAACAAGGCGAGCACCTCAAATATCACTTCTATTCAGTGTTTGACATTCCTTAACCAGGGAATTGGTTCCCACAGTTTTCTTGTAATTAGTTGTGGAATTATCTGCCATGATGGTACAAAGTAATGAAGAATTTAACTTCATGCTGCAACTCCATTTTCCCACTTACACCTTGTAATGTCTCATAATTGGTGCTCTTTTTAATATCCTGAAATCATGATTGTCAATTTACCATGGACTCAATTTCAGAACCTTTACACATTATACATACTTGCTTAGCACAGCTTGTCTTCAAGTTCGTAAGTGTTAATTCTTATCATTATGACTATGATCATGCAAGTTTATGCCAGGCTTTAATTAACAAATTGCAGTGTAACACATATCGGTCACATAAATCAAATTCACGTTTTGTTTCTGTAAGATTCCTTCAATTATGCCTGGATGGATAAATTCCTTCTTAGAAAGAACATTCACCTCCTTATCCTTCCAAAGTAAACATAGCATTTTACTGAGGAACCAACTTCTCATAAAGTCTGTGAAAATGAATTACACCTGAAAATAATGCCTTAAGTATATAATATGGATATGCAATGATTTGTTTTGTAACTTACCAACCTCCATCAGGAGAATAGCTTGGTAGTAAGCTTCTGGACTTTCATACACACAAATATAATATATCCATGTGCATTAATTTTCCTAACTCAACAATTTCTTGAAGATACCACAGGTTGTGGAATTTGTTCAATGTTGCGAGGTATTTTTGAGTGATCGATACTATTTGCAAGAAAATTATAAATTATCAGAGATAAACCCTTAAATTATGGTTCTGCTGTCATGTGTCTTGAACGTCATAACAACCTTAAGCCAGAACTGTCAGTATGTCGGAAATCAAAAGGAGGACATACATGTACGTTAGCGAAGAAGACGTAATATTATCGAAATCAAGAAGGCCATAAACGAGCTACTTTTCCATAAAAAAAGTCATACCAATGCATTTAATTTTTTGAGAAAATTAACCATTTCGGTCGAAAAAAGCCCTCTAGCGGCACATATGAAACAAAAAGCTCCAAAAATTGTAACATTTGTAGCCCAAGAATAGCTCTTTTGAACTAGCTCAAGTTTGTTAAAATCGAAGATACTTTTTTTATGGAAACCTTTGAATACTTCCACCACTTTATATTTAGAGATATAGCAAAAATTATCACACAAAAGATCTTCACATTATCCTTAAATTTAAGGATCAGTTTTTTTTTGTTAGATTAAAATAGCGGAATTCACAGCAACATCAGTTTTTTAGATTCAAGATTGCAGAAACTTGAAAATATTTTCCAGATTTTTCTGTTGACCGATTTAGTAAGAACTTTTTTCGTCGCAAGCCTCTACGGTTGATAGGATCCCAGATACAGTACCAAGCATTCTTAGTTGACCACACTGTACATCTATTTGGGATCCATTTTAAATAAATATGGTATTTACTCAGGTACAACTGAAGTGTCTTGAAAATGATTCAGCCAAACTGCTCTTATCAATCATACCAGGGAGCCATTTCTTTATAAATTTATGATCCCAACTTTCGAGAAACCTATCATCGCAGATCATTGCGGAACAAGGTGGCTTACTTTGATTCCAGTTACTGCACTGATGAGATAATTACTTGTCCATATTCAGTAGCTTTCTCAAAGTACACTTACACAAGTAATGTTCCTGTTACAGGTACGGTCGCTATAATACTGTAAAACAGTTATTAGATTCCGAAAAGGGCACGTTTATAATCAACGAAGGCGATGGAGAAGGTCTAACGCCTTTGCACATAGCTTCTCAACAGGGACACACCAGGGTAGTGCAACTGTTGCTCAACAGGGGCGCACTGTTGCACCGTGATCACAATGGCAGGAATCCACTGCACTTGGCTGCCATGAATGGATACACGCAAACCATAGAACTGCTGCTTTCTGTACATTCACATCTGTTGGACCAGACTGATAAAGATGGGGTGAGTGCTAAGTAGTTCTATCCTATACCGGATGTCCCTAGAAGCTGGTTTACCCCTATAACTTTATTATTTTTAGAGATACGAAAATGAAATCAAGTATTAAGGTATAGTCTAACTTTTTTTTTATTAGTTTGTTAGTTCAATTGGGAGACCCGGTACATTTTTGCTTATTAGAATAGAAAATGGCATTCCGAGTACAATGACGCTTTCAATCCAGTGTGCCATGAATATGATAAAATGCTAAATGTTGGACTAAGCAGTCACAGAAAAATAGATCTGATTGTCTTTTGTTATTTATAGCCTCTTCAGACTCGTTTAAATTATGAAAAAGCGTATTTATGGTCGTAAGTCAATTTTTCCAAATGGATCGAGGGTGGCCCACTAACACAGCTAAAAAGGGTATTTTTACCCACAATTTGATACCATACAAACGATATTTTAGTGTGCCATGAATATGATAAAATGCTAAATGTTGGACTAAGCAGTCACAGAAAAATAGATCTGATTGTCTTCAGAATGTAAGTAATACGCAAAACAATTAAGAGACATGAACTTTGCGAACAACAACAAGGTGCTCATTTTGCACATTTAATAAATAAGAAAGTATTTATTGGGTAAAATAATTAAAACGTATACAATTTAGTTAGTTCGCAGTGCATTATTTTGCGGAAGATTGAAAGCTGTGGAATATTATATTCATTACGTTAATAATAAAGTCGTCTTATTAGAAATAACTATTTACTAAAAAACTTTCTTTATATTCAATTAAAAATCACAAATATTTGGTAGATGTCAAAAGATAGCAAATGCAGCGTACAATAGTACTTGGAATTTTTCTATTTAAATAAGCAAAACATATACCGGGTGTCCCATTTAAAGTAACAAAGTTAAAGTATATTTAAAAATATTATAGGGATGAGCAACCTGCTAGGGACACCCGGTATATGGACGATTAAATACTTTGAGACTTGGGACTGTATTTATTTGCTAGCATGCTAAATATCAGGTACTATGTAATTTGAAAAGCTTCTGAACTCGCATTCAGGCCTTGGTATCGGAAAACATACTGCTATGCTGGGCTAGGAGACAGTCCCTATTAACACATGCACAGTTTCAGGCGGAACCGAGGAACAGTTTTTTTTTTAGAGCGGTAAGAAGTAGACATACGTAGGCTTGTCTTCAAAAGTATGATGTATTGAGTATATACCTACTGGCATAGAGGGGTATAGAACGGAGACGACACATACTGGTATGGTTAATATATTCAGTGACATTATAAGTGTTACATCCAGGAAAAATAATTTCTTCAATTTGGTTTTTTGGCAATGAGGTAGTTTTACATCAAGAATGAAACGAAAACATTCTCACGAAATTTTATCGACAAGTAATACAAAAAAAAATAACAATGCGTTGGGCGACCCCGCAGCTGAATACACTCCAGTATAATATTGTACGTCTAGGGATCGACAAAATGAGATGATCGATGTCTGGTTGTGGCACCTCATTCCAAACTACTCGAACTTGGATTAGCTGTGGCAGAGCCTGTGGCGGATCGTGCAAAGTGGATAGTCTCCCCCCATCATATCCCACACATATTCGGATGGGATTTAAATCCGGTGAACTAACACCTGCTTTTTGAAGAAGGTCCGTAGTACGACGAACAAAATATGGATGAGCATTGTCTTGCTGAAAAAAGACGTGTGGGCGGTCCTCTAGATACGTAAGTAAAGCGATTTTAAAGCCATCATCAAAATGACGCGCAGCAATCATACTGCCTTGAACAAAGAGAAGGGGTAATCGGCTACCATAGGCAATAGCCCCCAAAACCATTACTCCAACAGTCGTGTGTACATGCCTCTCAACAGAAAATTTCACCCTGTTCTCCACGGTGGCGGCATACCGTTCTACGACCAACGTGTGTACCGAGACAGAATCGCGATTGGTCGCTGAAGATGATATGCCATTCTGCCTCCCAATATTGCAGTTCCCTCTTCCAGTTCAAACGTTGACGACAGTGGTCCAGACAGAGGAAGCACTAACCGTAGACGGTATGAAAATAATCCAAAGACTCGAATGCAGCGATAGAGTGTACGCATAGTAACAGGTCTACCTTCTCTAAACCATTGGTCAGCGATCTGACGCGTACTAGCAAAACGGTTGTCTGAAGCGCATATCTTGACGCTCTGCGGTACGCCTAGGTGGACCAATTGGTCTTCTTCGCATTCCTCTACCTTCTTCTATCCACACACGACACACACGCATTACCGTCATTGCAGTACAATTAGCACGGCGGCTAATTTCGCGATAAGACAAACCAACATCTCGAGAGGCAATAATTCTAGCCCTGTCAAACTCGCTAACATGATGATAATTTGAACGCCTTCGAACTCGAGGCATTTTTTTATGCTTAACACTAGTAAACGAAAGGACAATAACTAAAAATATATTAAGTGACATATAAATCCGAACACCCAGTTTAAATGGTTTTATTTTAATAAAAGTTGGTGAATGTATTTATCTTACTGTAAATAACAAGTGAAAAAATGTTCAGCCTTATCAGTTGGACATTCCGGTTTCTATACTGCTTTTTTTTAATTCACTAACGCTCTAAAAATGAATATTTCAGCCGCAGTAAAGAATCAACGTTGGCGGATTTTGGTTCTTGACATCCTTTACGATCGGTTACGATGCCTAGAGTACGGAGACCTGTACGATTTCGTCAACTTAGTGAGTTTGATAGGGGCCGTATAGTGGGACTTCGGGAAGCTGGACTTTCTTTTCGGGCAATTGCAGTTAGAGTGCAAAGAAGTGTAGACACTGTGGTTAGGTGTTGTCAGGCATGGCTTCGAGAAGCCCGTACGCAAGGAGCAAGGGGCACTGGACGCCGCCGTAGAACAACAGACCGCCGCCTAAGATTATTGGCCTTAAGGGACCGTTTCTCCACTACCAGGTCCATTGCAAATGAATGGTTTGCAGAACACGGAAGACCTATTGGCATGCGAAGTGTTTACCGACGAATGAGAAGTTTTGGCTTGTTTTCATACCGGCCACACTGGGTCCTCCCTTTAACTCGAGAACACCGACGTAATCGCCTTGAGTGGTGCAGACAACGGTCACTCTGGGATCAGGAATGGAACAGTATTGTCTTTAGTGACGAGTGTCGATTTTGTTTAGGCATGCACGATGGTCGTGCCAGGGTTAGAAGGCGACGTGGTGAAAGGAGGAATCCACAGTTTTTTGTTGAAAGACATGTTCATCACACTGTTGGAGTTATGGTTTGGGGTGCTATAGCTTATGGTTCCAGGTCACCTTTAATCTTCATCAGAGGTAACATGAACGTGCAGCGTTATATCCACGAAGTTCTAGAACCCCATCTTTTACCCTATCTTGACACCCTGGCAGATCCAACTTTCCAACAAGATAATGCCCGACCACATGTTGCAAGAGTCACAATAGACTTCTTTCAACATAATGATGTCACATTGTTACCATGGCCACCAAGATCTCCCGACTTATCCCCAATTGAGCACGTGTGGGATATGATGGGTAGGAGATTGCTCAATTTGCAACGTCCTCCTCAGACTCTAGAATCACTTTGAGAGGAGTTGGTGGTTGCCTGGAATGAGATACCACAGGAGGACATTGACCACCTGATCAGAAGCATGCCTAGGCGCGTTGGAGAATGCGTAGCACATCAGGGTGCATCCACACATTATTAAAGGTCAAAAGGCTTTAAAGCAGTGCAATCATTTTGAAATTTTTATCATTTACTTATTATGCTTCATTAAGTACTTATACAAAATTTTATTAAAATAAAACCATTTAAACTGGGTGTTCGGATTTATATGTCACTTAGTATATTTCAACAAAGGTAAACAGAAACAAAGATGAAACGGTGATATTGTTGCTACAGCAAGCTTTAAATATAGTCATTATGTTGCCAGAAAAATAAATTGAAGAAATTATTTCTTCTGGGTGTAACACTTCTAATGTCACTGAGTATACAAGCACCTAGATAGTCCTATACATAACTTTTACGAGTATCTCTCTTTGAACACCAACTAACGAGAGCGACGCCCGCCAGTTGCATTAAAAATGTCTGATCATATTAGACCACACATTCTATGTTTGGCGAAATAATTGTAATGTCTGGTTTTATCGATTCAGGTTGTTCAGGGGGTATTCAAAACATAGACGCATAAAATGAGTACACCAGTTTTTTCTTATAGACTCCATATTAAAATTTTGCATAATCGAACACAATTGTTGATTTTGCATTTCTTTTTGCATTTATCTGTGTCACCATGAACTTACATATTTTAGTAGTACAATATTTAAATGTAGAAAATTTGAGTATAGCGTCTATTATACAGGGTGTCCGCAAAGTTGGGGTTTTCCTTTACACGACGTGTAGATCTTGAAAACATAAGCAATTTTTCTTAGTACCATATACACCAATGTCTTAAGGGAACCGAAATAAAGGGCTCTGCAACATCAAAAATATCTGAATACCGTCCTGTAGCCGCGACCCGCCGGGATATCACCGGTTGGTACAAGGTCTCAACCCCACGACAGAACTCGGTCGGGGTCAGTGTGTCAGGTCAGTATGCAACCTTCAACCGACGGTAAAGGGTCACGCGTATAGAGGTAACGAACCCGTATAATCGATTGCGTTTCAAAAAAAAGAAATAATAGTAGCACACTCATACACCAATAATGAACTCGTTGATATATTGTTAATTTATGGCGAATGTCTTAAAAATGCTACAGAATCGTCGCGAGTGTATGCAGATCGTTTCCCTAGACGACATCATCCAAGGCCCCGCAGATTTGTGTACCTGGTCCAGAGAGTCAGGGATACGGTCCATTTGGAGGAATTTCGAGGTGGGCACAGTGGGAGGCCTAGACAACCACGAATGGTGCAAGTTGAGGAAGAACTACTGAATCGCGTAGACGAGGATCCCTCAACAAGCACTAGAGACGTGGCTAGAGAAGTGCAAGTATCAAAAACTAACGTGTGGCAAACGTCCAACGTGTACAAGCCCTTCAACCTGACGATTTTCCAGCAAGAATGCGGTTTTGTGAGTGGTTGTTGCATCAACATGACAATAATCCGGACTTTTTGAAGTGCATATTGGTGACAGACGAATCGACGTTCACGCGTAATGGGGTGAATAACTTTCGAATTCAGGCAGAGACGTACTTAGCCCTTCTCGGCAACTGGAGAGTGAGTACTTTTTCCTTTACTTTTTTTTTACTTGGTTACCCTCGTTTCACTACACATTACCTTTGTTATTTCAAGGGTAGTTGTTTCTGAAAAGGAAAACCCCAACTTTGCGGACACCCTGTATAAAAATTTGACTACGCCATCTTCTGGAGGAGAAAAAGTGGTAATAACAATATGCATTTTATTTTGAAATCCCATCTCACATAAAGTCAAGAAAAAGAAAAATGATTTTGGGATAAATGTGGTATACGAAACTGATAATTTCAAAGCCTACCTAGGAAAATCTGTCATTTTTTCAAATAACCAAGGTTTGGCGATGTTAACGTATTTCGTGTTATACACTTTTGGTATCAGAATAACACACTCTATTCATCTGTTCATAAATACAATATGGCGTCCATAAGAAACAATAAAGTTGATTCTAGAGGACAATAGACCCACTTGTAGAGGAGGGTATTGACAATGTTATGTACAATTTTTTCTGAAAGCTCACTACAAATAAAGCGAGGAAACAATTGAATCGATTTTGGTGGAATTGTTTTTTTCCGTCTCATGTTTTTCAAAACTTTGAAGGAACTGGAAAAACTTCTGCAGGTAGTTTGAGAATTGAGCGGTTATTGGCGAGCACCTTTACAACACGTAGGGCGTAGCGCCAAAAGATATAATTATAAAGTTCCCTAACAGTGATCTCAAGTGCACTGAAACAGCAAAACAGATGTTCAGACAGCATTAATTAATGAAAATATTTGGGTTTTCGACTTCGGAAGGTGTGAATTTTGCTAGAACGCAAGTCACGTGATCTGATATAAATGATTCTAAATAAGTGGGAAGGGGTATGTGTGTCCTTTGTGCTTTCTTTTGAATAAGATAATGGTACTCATAGTACATAATTATTATCAATGTTAGAGTTATGTAGTTTTCAATATAGAGGATAAGAAACCGTTATTTGGTGAATTTCGTGCAACATGGGAGTCAGAACCCTCATGAGTGAAAGAACTAATCTGATCTTTTATATCATACAGTGACTAATGCTTACTGTCCGGACATTAACACTTTGTTTCAGAATACTGCTTTACATTTGGCGACAATGGAAAATCAGCCAAATGCTATCGCTTTACTTCTAACTGTTGGATGTAAACTCCTTTACAACCAAAGTGCTATGACAGCTATAGACTATGCTATCTACTATAAGTTTCCAGAAGCCGCCTTGGCCATGGTTACGCATGAAGACAGGTAAACATCTGACTTGACGGAATAGCCGTTACGCGTCCCTGTGATCGTTCCAGTTCCAACTAGATACCTACTCCAGTTCCAGCCTACTCCAAAGGCAGATCGGGAACCTCTGTATTGCGCATATGCTACTGAAATTCTGCAACCTTTTGAATCTCATTCATTTGGCGACTCAGTGGGGACTCATTGAAATACTACCCTCCACTATTAATACCGACCTCACACTAATAATAGCAAATAGAGACTGGTCTTTAAATTGTTTCAGAATTAGAGTTATTGGGTGGTATGGATGTTGGGTGCATTTCCGAGCACGAATATCAGAATTTCTAACCTAAAAATACTGGGATAAAATGGACTTTTATCTTGTTTAAAAGCTTACCAAGTCTGATTTAACTCCAATAATCCTATTATTTACAAAGTTTTGCTATACTTTTATGTACTTATTTGTGTTTTGCAACTAAACGCCTTAAACTGTGTATTGAGGACCGATCAACACTATAACTTAAAGCTACAGCATTCACTAAACGACCTTCTCCCAATAATCTTATACAATTCTCTAGTTCTTTTTGAAAAAGACGAGGCAATTTGAGAAAATAAAATAATATTGTTTACAGTCAAGTTAGGATGAAAATGAAAACTTCCAAGATCAAAAATTGGGAATCTGGCTTAGCCTCAAACTTTGCTAGAAAAGCATGACTTCCTTTGCTCACCCTGTATATGTGGATAAATGAAACAGATACACCGATCGAACCATGTACGTGTTCTCAAAGAGTTGTTCAAGAACCTCCAGAATACCGCAACTCCATATCTCTTTCCGTTTCGAAAATATCGAGATTTGAACTTAGGTCAAATTTTCCATGTTATACGAAGCAACTGTCCACCAGTTAGTTGTAGGTAGTTATATGAACCAACTACATAACTGCTCTTTTATTTTTTATGTATCATCTGCTTTCAAATGTAACCTAACGTTATATAAATCAGGTTATCTATTAAACTAAAGAAAATACTGAGCTTAGCATATTTTTTTATTATAAATACGCTGTATGCATTTGATGATACACTTGATATTCATATGTCATGAGTGTTAGTCAATAAAGAGTGTTGGAAGCTGACTTCGTGTATTCCTGCGGAACCAAAGGGACTCCCACAAACGACACTGGCGCAGTCAAGTAGGATTTCGTCACTGGTTCATCGAAGGAACTTGTGAACCTGGTGGACCCCAGATACTTCAGACGGAGACGATCCTGAGCAACCACACCCGGAGACGATCCCCGAGCAACCACACCCGGAGACGATCCCGAGCACTCAAGGCCCTACAACCACACGGAAACACTGAGTAAGTCCGAGTATTCCAATACTCCCCGCACTTTTTCTATCTCTGAACAAGAGTTGTGATAGTTAAGGGGCAACCCTAGTTAAATTTTTGAAAACATTGGCTTAAAATTAAGCACAATTTAAAATTGAGACTAGGAAGGAATTTTGCTTTATCTGACATTGATAAACTAAATTTATTAGGTTAGGAAAAACAACACGTTAGGTTAAGAAAAACCCAACGTTAGGTTAAGCCTTTAGAATTAATGAGTAGACCCTACCCAGCGATTCAGTCCCGACATTTAGTTAGAGACACAGACGAGAACAACATGACTCAACAAAACCAACCCTCAGTAGTGCCATTAGACTTACAGCTAGTGAAAAACCTTTCCGAATTCATTCCTTATTTCGATGGTGACGAGTTGATGCTTCAAAATTTTTTTGTTGCCGTAGACAATTTGTTCGAAGCAAATCCGACAACAAATGAATTTCATATTAAAATTCTGCTGAGTGCCATTCGAAATAAAATTAAAGGTCGAGCGCATATCTTGCTTTCTAGCCGTCCTGACATTGCAACGTGGACTGATATAAAAGCTTTGGTCATTCAGAACTTTAGCGATAACAGAAACATTTTAACCTTAAAACAGTAAATGCAATATATACGATATAATCCGAAAAAATCTCTATTAAGTTTTGGTAATCGATTAATTGAATTAAAATCTAAATTAATAACGAAAATTCAGTTATCAAATCTTACTTTAGAAGAAAAACGTGCACATATTAGTCTTTACGAACGCCAAATTTTTAACCGATACAAAATGAATTTGCCACAAAATTACGAAACAATTTTGCGAAATAACCCGACAATGTCCACTCTTGAGAATGCCATTACTTTTATAGATGAGCAAGTTAAATATGATGAATATAAAAAACTGTCCTTGGGAATACAACAACAAAAACAACAACGCCCTTCGTTACCTTCACACAAACCCCAAAACCCTCAAAAAACTTTTCAGAATTTCCATCCAAACTTCAATCAAGGCTTTCAGAAACATCTTGAATTTGGACCACAGGCTTTCCCTTCTCAGCCCATTAATTTCCAACCTAGACAACACAATTTTCAACATTTTCCAACCAATTCAAAAGTATCTGGTGGACCTCAAAACTTTTCTAGACCTCCTCAGACTTCTGATAAGCCTACTCCTATGTCAGGTGTATCTACGATTAAAAACCAACCTATTTTGCGATCATTCAACCTACCTAAGAAAACTGTTCCCCAAGAACTGCACTGCCAAGAAGATGGACAACCGGAAGAAAACTTTATGCCTACATGTGAAGTAAATACTGAAACCAATTTCAGTGACTCTGAAACATATGAACCATACTATGAAGAATGGTACTACGAAAACTTTTTTAACAATCAAGATCAACAAGTAGGCGTACAAGAACAAAATTTTCGGAAGACTACCAATACAACGGATCAGACGTAGAACATAACGCCTTTTTTGCTGCACCTCTTGCCTATACTCAAATTCACCATCCACCAATGAAGTTATTAATTGATTCTGGTTCTTCTAAAACTCTTATTCGCCCTGATATAATTAAAAAATATTTTCCTGAAACAATTTTTGATGAAGGCTCCACAATCATAACTTGTGCAGGTCAAAAACAAACTAATTTTTGTGCAGAAATCCCCGCATTCGAAGAATTTAATTCCAATGAAGCGATTAAGATCATTCTATTCGATTTTCATAATTATTTTGATGGATTGATAGGTCTCGATGTTATTACTAAATTCAACATTTTATTTGATTTCTCAAATAAAATATGTTATGGAGATCCCAATGATACAATGAGAAGTATAACTATAAATGCACATGAAATTGTTTGTACAACCAGTCCAATTACCATTGATATTTAGGATGTTTGTATTCCAGAACAGAAATTTGGTAATTTAAAAATCCCTTCTACCGTTACGACCGCCGAGCATAACCAAGCTCTAGTCGAACTTCATAATATTTCCGACGAAACAGAAACCATATACATGGAACACCTCACTACGGCTTATCCCTTAGAATATTTTGAAACAAAAGCTTTTCTTACAACCCCTTCTGAACTTAAGCGACCCCAGATAGGATCTAATGATGTCTCTAAATTAATTCGAACAGATCATCTTAATTCCGAAGAAAAACAACAACTTATTTCTCTTTGTAAAGAATTCAAGGATGTTTTCCTACTCCCTGGTCAACCACCTCCTTTTTCAAATGATATTAAACATAAAATTCGTCTTTCTGATGACACTCCTATTCACACTCGCTCATACCGATTTCCACATATTCATAAACAAGAAGTACAGAACCAAATCAAAAAAATGTTGACCGAAAATATAATCAGACCCTCTTCTAGCTCTTTTAGTACCCCTATTTGGATAGTACCAAAGAGGATGGATGCTAGCGGCACTAAAAAATGGCGCTTAGTAATCGACTATAGGAATCTCAATAAAAAGACTATTGGTAATAGTTATCCTTTGCCTAACATTACAGATATTTTAGATAAACTTGGTCGTTGCAATTATTTTACAACCCTCGATTTAGCGCAAGGTTTCCACCAGATCGAAATGGACCCTGATTCAATTGAGAAAACTGCTTTCACCGTAGAAAATGGTCATTATGAGTTTCTTAGAATGCCATTTGGACTTCGTAACGCCCCAGCAACTTTTCAAAATATCATGGACAACGTGCTTAAAGATCTTCAACACAAAATTTGTCTTGTTTATTTAGGTGATGTCATTATTTTTTCTACATCCCATCAAGAACATATCCAGAACATAAGACTCGTTTTTCAAGCATTTCGATAACATTCATTAAAAGTTTCTCTTGATAAATCTGAGTTTTTAAAAAAGGAAACAGCCTTTTTAGGACATATTATCACTACAAAAGGTATAAAGCCCAATCCCGACAAAATAGAAGTCATTACACGTTTTCCCATGCCAAAAACAGCCAAGGAAATCAAATTCTTTCTAGGACTAGTTGGTTATTATCGTAAATTCATTGATAATTTCGCAAAAATTACTAAGCTACTTACAAAATGCTTAAAGAAAAATGAAAAGATTGTTCATACCCCTGAATTTGTCGATGCCTTTGAAAAATGTAAAACTATTCTTACAAACGAACCTCTTCTTATATATCCAGACTTTTCAAAACCATTTGAACTCACAACTGATGCAAGTAACTTCGCTATTGGAGCTGTTCTTTCCCAAAATTCAAAACCCATAGCATATGCATCTAGAACCCTAAACCCCGCTGAAATAAATTATAGTACTATCGAAAAAGAATTATTATCCATTGTATATGTGGTAAAATACTTCAGGCCTTATTTGTTTGGCAGACGTTTCGTCATTTATTCAGATCACAAACCCCTACAATGGTTATTTTCCCTGAAAGATCCACAATCCCGATTAGTACGTTGGCGTTTAAAACTCGAAGAATATGAATATGAAATTCGATACAAGAAAGGCAAAACTAACCTAAACGCAGACGCACTATCTAGAATTAAAATTCCGTACGAAGAAATAAATGCTCTTGACGATGAACTTTCAATTATCAATAATCCTGATACAGAACCACAAGATAACCTTACAGACTTGCTTGAAAATCTTGACGACCTTCCAAGTCCAGATCCTCAAACACTAGAAGAAATAACTAGAAGTATTTATGAAGCTACAGAGAATACACGTCACACCGCAATCGAAAATCCGATTTGTGCCCCACCAATAACAGAAAAACCTGTTAATGCCTTTGATCGCCAAATCATTATTATAGAATCAAATACTCCTGCTGCACGATTCTTACCCTCTCTCGAGAAGCCTTTTGGAAAGACCCGACATACTTTAACATTCCATTCAAGTATATCCGACGACGAAATTCTTCTCCATCTCAAAGATTATATTAATACCACACAAAACCATTGCCTCTATTTCCACAGTGATCCAATAAAAGAATAAACTCTTAGAGTATTAAAAAATAAATTTAGCCCTCAAACTAAAGTTATAACATCAAACTTGTTTCTTACCGATTTATTCACAGATCATGAGAAATTAACTGAAGTTAAATTCTGGCATGAAACAAAAACCCCTCATCGTGGAATTAATGAAACAATTAAACGAGTTTCATCAAAATTCTATTGGCCTAATATGTCTAATGACATTAACCGTTATATTAACCTTTGCGATGTTTGCCAACGTACAAAATACGACCGTAATCCACAACACATCAAATTACAACATACTCCTACACCAAATAACCTTTAGATGTCCTACATATTGACTTATTCCACATTCAGTCAGAAATATACTTTACTATTTTTGACCCATTTTCTAAATATGGTCAAGCACTGAAGATTCCATCTAAGAATGCTATCGATGTTGTTCAAGCTCTAATTCAATTCACTTCCTATCTAGGAACGCCTTCTCAGATAATTGCTAATGCTGGAAAAGAACTCAATAATATCCTCCTAAAAGAGTATTGCCAATTATATGGTATAAAACTCCACATTACTTCTATTAAAAATTCTAACAGTAATAGTCCAGTAGAACGTTTCCATTCTACTCTTCTTGATTCTCTTAGAACCTTAAAAATTGATCACCCAAATAAACCATCAAGTTACTTGATGACATTAGCTGTCTCATGTTACAATAATTCAATACCTTCAGTAACAAAACTCTTAATATCATATTTGCTCAACTTGACAAGAACATTTCTCCCACATTACATGAAACAAGGATAACCCAAGATTATATCGACTCAACTAAAAACATTGCGAAACAATTATATCAAATTGTACAAAATCGTGTTGAATCTCGAAAGGAGCAAGTGCTTTCTAAAGTAAATAAGGAACTAGATGATCCTCAACCAACATCTTCAACAGAGTATCTTAATACGAGAACTCCCCGATGTCCTAAAGTTAAACCAATATTTAAACGCGTTTCAATAAGAAAAGATACAGGTCCAACAGCTGATACATCTGCTGGAACTTTCCATAAAAATAAAATAAAAAAGAAATGACAACTAAAACCATCCTCATTGTTACAGGATTAAGACGACGATTCCGATACTCCTCTTTCTATTATCCAGAAGCGACTCACTTCAGATAAATCAAATCAACAGCCCTCTTCTTCCCATTCTGCTAGGACCAGTTAAAATAGTAACTCACCACCATTCCTTCGTACACGTTAGTAATCTTCAAAAAATCGAACAACAACTCAATAAACTATATTCAAATTTGATAACAATTAAAGATAAGGCTAGGAATCACGATGTATACGCTAAATGGCTGCAAGCAGAATTTATATTAAAGAAAACGTATGATAAATTTCATACCATTTACCTTAATAATAAAAGATCTAAACGAGGTTTAATTAACCCTATTGGTTCACTTTATAACTCTCTGTTTGGACTAATGGACGACAATGACAGACAAAAAATTAACACAAATTTAAAAGTTTTATATAGAAATCAACATTCTATTGTTTCCCAAATTGAAACCAAAACAACAATATTAAAGAATCTTGTAAATAATCTTGAAGATACCATTAAGGTCATAAATGCTAATAATAACCGTACTATCACTGAACTTAGTGATATATTAGTACAGGAGTATGTTCAAGATATTATTAATAATGTAAATTTTCTTCAAAGTTATCTGTCTAATATCGAAAATGCTTTATTATTTGCTCATTTAAACTTGGTACATTCAAATATTATAACAGCGAACGATATCAAAGAAATATTTGCAAAACTCAAACTATTATATAAGATGAGTCAAATTCCTATATTCCACATTCATTATTATTTAAGTCTCTTTAAAATTCAAACTTTTATTGAAAACTATAACTTACACATTGAAATATTAGTACCAATATTAAAAGGTAAAGCTTATTCCTTGTTCAGAGTAATCCCCTTACCTTATAAAAACCTTACCATTCTACCCCCTTTACTCTACCTTATACTCGGTGAAGACGGACACACATGGATCAATAATGATTTACCACGCCTGGAACACACCTACCTGTCAAACGATATATTGGACACCAGCAACCATTGCATCATCGACATCATCCGTCGACGACCCAATGTAACTTGTCACGCCGTACCAGCACACCAGACCGAAACTACTGTTCAGACCCTGCCCAATGGTCAGATTCTGATAATTGCTACAATGCCAGTGGAGGTGAGAGAAAAATGCTCGAACCTCGAAGTTAAGGTGTTACATGACTTATCCATCATAACACCTAAGCCCAATTGCATCCTTTGGATCAACGAGGAACAATTTTACATGACTCCAGTGGTTCTACCCGACTCCGTCACTTACCTTCTACCAGAGCCACTAATGGAATCAAGCCGTTCTTCAGTATACCTGGACAACGTTCCGACAACCAAGTTAGAAGAACTTCACCAGCAGCTACGCAAAATCAAGCACATCGCTCTACAAGCACCAGACCTGGATCCAACGAGCCATTCCTGGATCACACTGTATATTGTTCTCATCATGATTTTAATCTTTATGTTACTAGGTCTCCGATATCTCTACGCACGCAGCAAAGGAAATCAGGTGAAGATCGAACTTTCAACCCACAAGGACCCGATTCCGCCTATGCCTTCATCTAGGACGGGAGGAGTTATATGAACCAACTACATAACTGCTCTTTTATTTTTTATGTATCATCTGCTTTCATAATGTAACTTAACGTTATATAAATCAGGTTATCTATTGCACTAAAGAAAATACTGAGCTTAGCATATTTTTTTATTATAAATACGCTGTATGCATTTGATGATTCACTTGATCTTCATATCTTATGAATGTTAGTCAATAAAGAGTGTTGGAAGCTGACGTCGTGTATTCCTGCGGAACCAAAGGGACTCCCACAAACGACAGTAGGTAAATATCAGTCTTTTTGGTTTGAATTTTACAACCAAAGGGTCTGTGATTTTCACAAATTAAACCTACAATCAGCGAAAAGTACAAAATATCAGCGAGAAAACAGCAAAGGAAACTACTTTCCGTATATAATTTCTTTTATCTGCAAAAACTACTATAAAAATAAGGTTATTCGAACAAAAAAGAAGAAAATAACTAACTAACTTTATTAATTTTAGGTCTTTTGTTTGATTTACTGCGCCTGTCAAATAAGGCCAGGGATTATCGGTCCCTGACTTTATTGGACATTCAATAGCTCCCTAGTGTCTGGGCTACTGAAAACAATTCGTCTTATTTATTCTTTTTTGAATTTGAAGGTTTATCATAGTTTTGCCGCACTTACCAAAATGGATAGACTCTCAAGCTTGGTGTGGATTCTTTTTCATTAGATAAAAAATGGCCACTAAATGTAATTTATGTAAGTGGGGTATGGGGGTGAACACAACTATCTTTTTTGGCTTCATTAGTATAATTACAACACAGTATTAATCAAAATGGATGAACTTTGGGGGGAAAATATGTAGCTCACCGGTGGCGGACCGGACCGACAAGAAGCATCGTTGCCAAGTCAAGAAAGGAGTCAAGAGATAAAGGGATCTCTATTGTTTGTGATTTGGACATATTCTTTTAGTGTTCACATATCCATATAGTTTGTTTCACACTTTTTTGATATTGAAATATAAAATATATACAGGGTGGACGGAATATTACTAATAAACAAATACATTTTTGGAAAATCTATTTATAGCATTTTATACATGACATTTGGGGGCACATTTCTAAAATATTGGCCATTATAAAGCGTGTGACCTACATATCAAAGTTGTGATTTTTTGAATAGAATGCCTCAAATTTTACTGCATATTTGGATAAACGAATTCAAAAGAAGAAGATTGATATGACATACTATGGGGTTTTGGTAATTAGCTACTGAGATGTAAGGTGTTTTGTCCAGAAAAAACCGTCCATTTCGGCAACCTCTCAATCCGGCAATTAGAAGTTTGGAGTGATCAGTCTTGTATCAAAAAAAACTTACGCACCTCAACTTTTATTTTGAATGTTACTTTTTCGAATTTTCATTTTTGCTCATACAGGGTGGTCAAAAACACGAATTGTACTTATTCTCAAAAATTTCCAATGCATCACCCTGTATATTTGTGCAAGTTTGAATTCAATTTTTTATAAGCCTTTTTTGGTACTAGGTTTGATTTAGATAAAATCACTAGATTTTGAGTTATTAAGCTTTCAATAGAACAACACTACAAAATTAAGGAAAAAAATCACATCATCCATGGAAACAAAACACAAACAGTGGGCTTGTTCCATATTACCACTAAGAGTACAGATTTGACGTAAAAACTAATAACAATCAGAACAGTAAAAATCATCTTCAAGCGTAATAGAGAGAAACAACTATAACAACAACATAAAAAAACAACTATCACTATTCAAGACCTAATCTACAAAAACTGCTCGAAAATATCTCCACCATGTCGAATAGACAGCTGTAGTCTTTGGATGAATGACCGTTGCATATCCTTCAGCATGTGTTTCCCTTATGTTCAGAAAACCATCCTTTATCCTTTCCTTCATATTTTCCGGGGTAGATGGTGGATATCTGTAAACCTCTTGCTTAACATAGCCCCATAGAAATAAGTCCATCAGTGTCATATCTGGTGATCTAGGAGGTCAAGATATAGGCCCATCACGACCGATCCAACGATTGTTAATCCAGGTGTCCAAATAGTTACGCACACGATTATGATAATGCGCAGGTGCGCCGTCATGTTGGAAGTACATATGCATCCAAGTTTACAGTTTAACATCCTCCAAAAGCAAAGGAAAATGCTCGATCAAAAAATTCAAGTATTCTGTACCTGTCAATCTGTTGACGAAAAAGAAAGGCCCGATAACTTGTTGCGAATAACTACTCCTCAAACATTCAAGCTCCATTTATTTTGGAAATCTATTTGCCTACCCCAGTAAGGGTTTTCCGTCGCATAATAGTTCATGTTATGTCTGTTGACAACACCTATGCTGTTAAAAGTTGCCTCATCGCTAAAAAGAACCTTATCCAGGAAAGTAGTATCTTCACTTACTTTATTTAGCATTATTCTACTAAAGTCCATTTGAGCTGCGAAATCCTAAGGACGAAGGCCTTGATGCAAGTAAGTGATATGGATGGTATCTATGCTTGTGAATAATCCTTTGTACAGAAGTTCTGCATGTATCACTTTTTGCTCCAATTTGCCGTGCACTTAAATAGGGATTTTCCTGCAACTTTAATAGAACCTCCGACTGATTCGCCTCATTGATGGCACTTGGATTATTTATACATTTTTGACTAGATTTCACTGCTCCACTTGATTCAAAACGTTCTCGTAGTATGGAAAACGTTTTCGGCCTTGAATGACGCATATTAGGGTACCGTTGCTCGTAAATGCGAGATGCTAGGAAACTATTTCATTGGGCTTCGCCCAAAACGAACCCGATATTGACCATTTCTTCTTTAGAAAACTTCATTTTCAAACACGTTTTTATTATAATGCTCACGAAGCAAATTTTGACAGTTTGTAGCTAATCAACAATTTATTTGTTTCCAAGAATGATGCGATATTTTAGGGAATTAAGCCGTTCCATAAAAGACGTGCTAATAACCGAAAAAATAGCCATAAAAACCCTTATGTGTCTGTATAGAAAAAAAAAGCTGATAAGAAATTGAATTCAAACCTGCACAAATATACAGGGTGATGCATTTGAAATTTTTGAGAATAAGTACAATTCGTGTTTTTGACCTCCCTGTATGAGCAAAAATGAAAATTCAAAAAAGTAACAAATAAGATGAAAGCCGAAGTATGTAAGTTTTTTTTGATACAAAATTCAGCACTCCTAATTTCAAAATGGCGGACTGAGGGGTTTCCCAAGTGGGGGGTTTTCTAGACAGGACACCTTTTATTTCTATTCAAATATGCAATAACATTTGAGTCATTCCATTTGAAAAATCACAACTTTGATATGTAGGTCGAAATTGGGACACCCTGTATAATGGCCAATACTTTAGAAATGCGCCGTCAAATGTCATGAATAACATGCAACAAACAGATTTTCGCAAAATGTATTTGTTTATGAGTAATATTCCGTCCACGCATGGATAAGTTTACATGTGTGCAGTTTTGAAACTCATATCACGTTCATATATTTTCTATATTCATAGTTTTTAAAACATGATTAAAACACAGATTTCATATAATCTTGGTCGAATCTAATATGAACAAATGCAAAATAGTCGATTTTTTTACATGTAAACTTTTTTAAAGAAATATATATTTTGATCCAATATTGAAAAAGTGTGAAACACAAACTATAGAGATATATAAAAACTAAAGCAATATACATATGTTCAAATCACAGAAGACAAGATCGCTTAATCTCTCAACTCTCTTCTGATCTTGACTTGGCAACCATGCTTCTTGCTGGTCCGGTCCGCTGCTGCCGATTAGATATCTACTTACCCACCCAAAGTTCATCCATTTTAATTAATATTGTGTTATAATAATACTAATAAAGCAAAAAATAATAGTTTGATCGATCCCCATCCCCGCCCCCCTTTCATAAATTGAGTCGCCTAGTTTCAAAAACCACTAAGTCCAGTTTAGGATTTTTTTCAGAAAACGCAAAAGTTTGCTACCAGCCACAGAAAAGTAACCTAGAGTTTTTATGTGCAGAACTGATAGATAGTGACGTAATGTTTCAGACTGATTTCTCGGGGAAATCTCGCTTCAATAGTTGTTTGAGGAACTGAAAAAACACTTTGGATTTAGCTGTTTTTGAAAACAATTATGGATTTAGGGGGTTTTGCTTCAAAATTCAAATGCACTAGCAAAGTCTTCAGTCTGGCAACATTAGGTTAAAAGCAAATGATAAGACTAAATTATAGTGCTTCATTTATTCAACTTAAAAAAAAAACATTAAACGATATCATCTTCCTGAACGTCGCTTATCTGACATAGTTCTTCCTATCCTTCATTATGTTCACTATTGCCTTCTTCAGTCAACTTCCCAAATCTTCTGACAATGTCTTTGTAATATATTAGATTTTCTTTTTCAGCAATATTTTGCCAGTCGGCTCCAAAATGTTTTCGCAGTAGTACATCCACGTCTCTTATCTTCTTCGCATTTAACTCGACTTTATTCAATTCTATTTCTTCTGGGAAGATATTGGAAACTTGCTTCCCTCTTTTACAAATCCCCAATGCGTTGTTTATGTCCGAGAAATAATTAAGTCGCGTACACATCTGGCGAACGCATGTGGCCGAAGCCTTTCGACCGAACGCCGTCGGTAAATGTGTACGACCTAACAAACGCATGTGTTTGCCTTCGCGAGAGTTCGGTCACTGGGCGGTACATCAAAAGAAAATTGAAGAACGAATTCGTTTGGCTGTGTTTAGTGTGTACGCTTTTCAGTTTTTAAGTGTCTCATCGTGGTCATTTTGTTTTGAGTTTCTATTTAGCGATAATGGAGTGGACTAATTCCTCTTGTTTAAAACTTATTGGTTTATATCGAGAACGGGAAGTTTTATGGAATCCAGTGCATAAAGATTACAAAAATAAAATACAGAAAATGGATGCCTGGAACGACATCAGCAAAATTATGAAAGGCGATACAGGGGAGGTCAAAAAGAAAATGGAATCTTTATTAACATCATTCCGACGTGAGAGACAAAAACAAGATAGCTCGTTTAAAACTGGCTCAGGAACCGACACAATTTTTAAATCTAGCTGGTTCGCTTTCAAAGAAATGCTTTTCTTGATGGACAAGTTTATACCAAAAGACACTAAAAACACTGAGGTAAGTCAAAATATTTATTTTTTTATCAAATAAAATAAAATAGGGAGATTTGTACGACCTCAGTGTATAGGCAGTAATAAGACAGAAGATTATAATTAGCCGACTAATTTCTACGCATGTGAATGTTGCCAACTCACGCTACCTTCGCCCATAAAATATGTAGCAAATTCATTTCTAATTGCTTCACAATTTGCCGAACTTTTTCGACCTATCTTAGGTATTGGAAGAAAGGACTCTGCATTTTTATTTTCGCCTCCCTGTCTCCATTGTCCAGGAATGATTTTTCCTTCTTTCTCATCATCAAATGTTCCTGATGGAGTATAAGTGTTGCGAGAATGTTTACTTTTCCTTAGGAAGTTATGTAAATAGACACATGCTAAAACTACCAAAGTTGCTTTTTCAGGTGATACTAGTATCACTTTTCTCAAAACTCTAAAAACAGCTGACATGATGCCGAAAACATTATCAACAATACGCCTGGCTCTACAAAGTCTATAGTTAAAGATACGTTTCTTAGAACCTTTTTTTTGTTCTACTGGATACCCCTTCATTAAATGCTCACTAAGGCTAAATGCATCATCTCCTACAAATACATAAGGAACTTTCACATGTCTATTAGGTAGAATGTCATCAGGTGGTAAATGGAGCTCATTGTTTTGCAGTTTTTTCCAAAATATAGAGTTTTTTAGCACACCTCCATCTGAAATCCGACCTTGGCAGCCAACATCAGCAAACAAAAAGCAATAATTTGGATCAGCAACTCCCAACAAAACTATACTAAAATTTCCTTTATAATTGAAATAGTCGCTGCCACTGTGTATGGGTGCCTGAAGTACGCAGTGTCTGCCATCTATGGCACCAAGGCAGTGAGGAAAATTCCATAGAGCTTCAAACATTTCCGCAACATATCGCCATTCGTTTTCAGTTGTAGGCATCTAGAAACAAAAAAAAACGTTAGTGTAAAAAAATATGAAATCAAAATTTTTTCAGGAGATGATTCGACCAAGGAATCAATATCAAGAAGAGGAGGAGGAGAAGGAAGTGGAAGAAGACATGGCCAACAATGACATAGCTATTGACGAAATTAATAATGACACGCAAGTAACAGAAGTACAAGAACGAATAACCCTCAAAAGAAAATCAAATTTTATATCTCCCAAGAGGGTCAAACGGGTACCATCTGTGGCTTCTGTGAATCAAGGAGCAACCAGTGCTATCTCTAGAGGGCAAGAAGCATACCAAATATTACAAGAAACACTTGCAAGTAAAAAAACAAGAGACGGTAGCACAATTTTTGGAGAACATGTTGCTGCAAAGCATAGAAAATACAGCGCGCATACACAAAGTGAAGTGGAACATCTAATTGGAGATATTCTGTATAAGGCTGATAAGGGACTTTATGAACCACACGTGTCCTCAATCAGTTCCATTAGCCACAAACAATATTATTTATCTCAACCCAATCAACAAATTTATACGAGTATCACGCCTAGTACAACACCCAATTCGTATAATCAATATGCTTCAGACACTCAAAGCATCAGTACTCCTTTACCATCACCTTCAGAATCAGATGGTCCACTGAATGAAAATGAGTCTTTTTTGTCGGCGACCCCATCAAACCTGACGTTACAGGAAACTGATAATCCGAAGACACCCATCATACGTTTTATAAATGCATTTACAGATAGTCTTTAAGGCATTTTTTGTTTTTTTTTATATAAACCCTAGACTTTTTAATAAATACCTAAAGCATATTATACATAACTATTGAACTCACCTTAACGTATTCTTGAAGCGTCTCAATTATAGCAGAGCAAACCTCTGGTATTATCCTTGAAATGAGTTGTTTTGAAATTTTAAAAGTATACATTAAACTTGTATACGAGTCACCAGTAGCTAAATATCGTAGGGTTAACATTAACCTTTCTGTTGACGGTATTGCTTCTCTAAACTTTGTATCTTGTTTCGCGATTTTTGGACCGATTTCATTTAATAACCATTCAAAATCAGTAGACTTCATTCTACAAAAATTTACAAAAAGTCCGTATTCCATTTCAGCTTTTAGATCACTAATTAAGTCCAGCCCTCTATACCGACTTCTGCTTTTGAACAATGATGTTGTCCACCAGCGCCGTTTTCGTCGTTTCTTGGGGGGCTCTTTCAATGCTTCGGTCTCCGCCTCACTAATAATAATATACAACGCACTTGCAATAATTATATCCTCATCATCGGACGCCATTTTTTACCATTTACAAAAATACCCGCGAACCTCGACGAATGACTGCAAACGAATTCGTTCACCGTAATGTGGACGGCAGAGCAAATTTTCCATCGAACGTCGAAATCATCGAATGAATTCGATCGAAGAGCTTCGGCCACATGCGTTCGCCAGATGTGTACGCGCCTTTAGGTTCTCCACGAATTAGGATTTTACCTTTTTTGCTTTTGCTTAGCACGATTCTCTTACACGAATTGATTTTGAAATGTGGAGAAGATGTTGGTTTCATAACCTCGTTTATAGTCTTGCGCCAGTTTAAGGCTTTCCAATCGACGCCTAGCTTTGTTACTTTTCCAAACTTTTCAAATATAGTATAGTAATCCTTAGCATCGACGATTGTATCTTTCTTCTTCACATTTTTTTCTATTTGCGCGAAAACTCTATCTGGAGGCAGGAACGAATGGCCAGTTACTGGGAAAATCAAGTTGACCTTCTGAATATGTTTAGGTGCATCATCTGCAAACCACTTGGCACACATTCCAATTATAGTGCCGTTTTTATTTTGACCGGTACATCCGTCAGAAACAAGTTTTATCTCAGAAACTTCATCTGCAATTTCCAAATTATTTAAAGTATTGTAAACTGCTGAAGCAATTTCGTTAGAACCCTTTGATGCTTCAGATTCCAACCAAGTATGCATGAAGACATTCTGTTTGGTTAACTTTGCTTTAGACGATCCGATCACGACTGTGAAGTTATATAAGTAAAGTTGTCTTTTATAATAGGTGATTTGATCTGGGATTTTTGACAAAACTAAATTTTTGTCACAGTCGTAGGAAAGAGTTATCATATGAGCCTCTTCTTTCTTCAAAATATCAAAAAAAGATTTTGCCTTCATTTTGTGTAATCTGTATTGTGTATCATCGTTCTGTGTGCAATATTTTTTCCTGGATCACTGGAAACATACTGCCCTTGTGATCTGCCTCTGCAATAATGTTTCTCTAGTACTGCGATAGATTTGATAAACTTCATCACAGTTTCCCTAACATCTTGAGACTTGAGGGAACGACGATCGCCCCCACGATTCTCTCTAGGTAGCTGATCCTTATGAAAAAATCGAGAGAGTACACCTTCTACTCGGTACCTTTTTAAGTTTAAGATACCTAAGAATGCTTCCTTGCAAACAGGAACAATTTCTTTTGATTTTTGCGGATATAATATGTCGTGGCCATGGTACGTGGTCTGCTTGAAGACTGATTTCGTACTCGTTTAATAGTACCAACTGTTGCATGTTTCAATATAAACGTGTCTTGAGCAACTTTGGTTTGATTTTTATAAAATACTTCATGAAATAGTTTAATGTCTTCCATTGTGAGACTGCCACATTGATAAGACTTTGTTGTGTTTGCAAACAGGATACTCTGGCAACATTTTCTGATGATACCTAAACAAAATACTACACTGTAACTACTGCGTAAAGCCATAGGATGTGATATTTTGAACGTAACTATTTTTTTTCTCAACATTCCTTTTCCATTTGTCTGACCGAGATACCCTCTTCCTGGCACACTCGGGTGTAACTTCAAGAACTTGCATTTTATAATAAATTCTCAAACGAAATAGATTAAACACGTTAAATCGTAGTTCGAAGTAGCACTAATTAAAATAGGTTAGGTTTGTACGAAGCACGCTGGAACACAGAATAATTGGATTTAGGGGATTTAGATTCTCAGGTACATACCGCACATCCAAATGTTATGGATTTAGTGGCTTTTGTTATTGAATGGATTTAGGGGTGTTTGGACTTCACTCAGTTATGGATTTAAGGGATTTTGAAACGAACGCAGGAAATAAACGGCGATTTTGGAGATCATTTAGCAGATTTTGAAACGTACTTTGATATCTGAAGCATTATTTAGACCTTTCTCAATCAGATGGCGCCACTAATTCAATTTGGTTCAAAAGTGGATTTAGGGGACTTTGAAACTAGGAGACTCAATTACATTTAGCGGTTCGCTAGTTTTGATCTAACGAAAAAAATCCACACCAAGCTTTGATTAGTGTGGAAAACCTATAACAAATCTTCCAATTTAAAGAAGAATATAACAACTTGTTTTCGGTCTAGCTCAAATACTGAGCCGTCAAATGAATGTGTGAACGATGTGTAAACGGTTGCAGTAATGTCGGTCGCCTATACGCAACCAGCATTTCAGAGGTAATCCCAGATACGCGTAAAAGCTAACACAGAACAGAAATGGGAACAGGGTATAACATGTTGCCGTACAAGCGCCTGCACCTGAAAGGTGTACATGTTTATACAAATACGAAACTATACTTTCAGAGCTCAAGAAGTTATGATGCTTAAATCTAGCAAGCACCCTTGTGTAACCTTGGCACTAATAGCCTCCATGCCGAAGGTATTTGAAGCTGTACAGGATAAGTGCATCACGAAAGCTAACTGCAAGAAAGATTCTAAATCCTTTTATGTAAGTATTTTTGTCAAATCGATTCAGAATTCAGTTTTATAACACTTGGGTGCATATTTGTGTTAGTACAACTGACAGATAAAGTGATCCGTTCCAGGATGGAATAAAAAACGCAAAAAGTTGCTATTGTAAGGCGAAGTTTTTCCGAAAACTGTCTGTGTAAAAAAAACCTTCCTACAAAAGAATTTTATTGATTTTTTTCGAACCATATCAGTTACCTAAAGGCACCTATTTAACAACTTTATCTAGAGTGTTATAATAAAATCTGAATTGAAGGATGACCTACATATGAGATGATCTAAATATATCATTTTTGCAGATAAGGTACAGTTTTGATAGCTTACAATGTCCATCATTATATGCAGAAGATGACGAAAAATCTGTCAAAAAGCCAGAACCGCTACCAGCCCTGAACGTAAGTAACCACTTTCTTAGTATGAATGTTATCAGTAGAAAACTAAAAGATGCAACATCACAGCTACAGCTTTCCGATGATTATTGTCGATTAGAATCAGATATAGTGCGTTATGTAATGGCCTATTATGTGTTATGGAATAGCCTTGAATACTATAGCGTTATTTTAGAGGTACATTTGTCGATGTATTCCATCGATTTAAATGTCATCCATCATCCTAAAATCTCTTAAAACACGCATTACTGCTTTCAAAACAGTGGTATATGACAATCTTCCAAAATCTATCTGTTCTAGGCGATGGTTGCACACGGCAGAGTAGAGCTGTTAGCACACCCTCTAAGTCAAAAATACCTGCAAATGAAGTGGAACTCCTACGGAAAATATATTCATTTACTCAACGTCACAATTTACAGCGTATTTTTAGCCTTTATTACATGTTTTGCTGCTCAACTTATGGAACATCAAAAACCTATCAGTAGGTTGAACATCACCAACTTATCCCACGAGGTAAGTTAAAACATGATATATGAAAGTATGAGCAAAGAAATACCTTCGTGAATAACATATAATTGAAGGAATGCTCGAAAATTCAGATTTCTACAGAAACATACCCCTTTGTTGTTTTTATTATGAGGAAAAGTAGGTATTTCCAGTTTCATGTTATTGAGACGCACAAAGGAAGAAAGACAGGTAGAAAAAAACGGAATTCGTTAATGAGACGTAAGAAAGGCGGGTCAAAGTCAGACTACCAGTATCCCTTTTATATATCTCCATCTCCTTCATACATACACAATGCAGCCTACCCTTGTGTGTGAATGTTTGTTCGGTAAGCTCAAAGACATACGTTTTTTAGTTATGTGTCTCCGTATCTCGAAAACTTTGTCATTACCTATGAGTGCTGTTCAATCATATTTGTCAAAGCGACAACTTACTTGAGATCGGCGTACAATTCAAGTTGACCTGTTATCAATCTTAAATATAAAATTATACAATACCCGGAAATACGATCAATGGAGAAGGCCGATAGCTTGGACTCAATTTATTATTTAGTATATCCAGGAAAAAAATGAAAACACCGGTCCTCTGTTACCCACTTCAAGCATACTAGAGAGAGTAGCAGATACGCCCATGGTACGGAGACTCGATGTGTTTACTTATTTCATATGGCGTTGATGACGTAACCGTCAAAAACGGTGACTTCAACTATAGTCAACGCCAAACAAAGTGGCGTGCACGTCATCACGATAAAAATTCCCCGACCTAATGCCTAGGTTTCTATCACAAACAATTGCTCTATTGCAGTTTCATATTAATGTGATATATAAATTGTAAAATGGTCATTACTCTCTTATTATGGTTAATAGTCATATAAACATTGTTATTAAAATATCACATAAGTTGCTTTCTGATAAATTTAGACGCATTATGCGAAATAAAATGTTTTGCAAACGCTCCAATCACTTATCGACATGTAAACGCACTAAACCGATTTCGCAGCGTTGACACATTGTCACCTTGAAACTTATTTAAACTGGGAACTGACATTTGTATTAATTTTGACACTGAATCAATTTGTGGCATTTCAAATCTTTATAAATCCTTTGGCCCCGCATACTGTAAATCAACAACTGTTTGTTTCAAAACAAAATTATTCATTTTACGAGTAGATAAAGGCAATTTTGGTATATAAAGATGCCCAAACAGTTAAATAGTCGGTGTAAGGAACTCGTGGCCTCGTTAATGCACTACTTTGAGCAAGAAAGGGACAACAACGGGCCTTTGTTGCCTTTAAATGCTGTTCAAGAGGTAGGTTACTAATAATTATATGTAATGTATATTAATAATAGTGAAATTTTATTTCATTTTTTGTAGCGTGTTGCCGCTGCTTTAAAAATTAGTTTAAGGACAGTTAGTCGTATTTCTGAGGGTGTGAAAAGTGATGCAAATTTAGAATCGCCCAAGAAAAAGCGGAGTTATATTAAACGTGTAACCAACACAGCGACATTGGATACAAGTGCCATTCGAGAAGTGATCTATAATATGTATCACAAAAGTAAGATCTTATTATAATAACTTATCAGAAATTTGCATTAATTTGTTAACTAAATTATAATGTCATATTACACATGGTTTCAGAAGAACAAGTTACGATACAAACTTTATGGTCTCGATTAAGAGATAGGGCATTATTTGATGGTAGTGCCACGTCTTTAACCTTTCAGTACTCGCGCCACAAATTTCACCATGAGTACTCGCTTGGGGTATTTATATACCCCAATTGAAATAAGCAACAAATAGAATACTTTCAAAATGTTTTTGATTATTTTCATATTCGACAGGGTATTAACTGAATGATTTCAAATAACACAATATTTATTGTTGAAATAAATTCATTGAGTAACACAAAATTTATTATAAAAAATAGATATTTACATAACTAAAGCTACTAAGTTTCAGTTGCTTTCAACTTCTGGAGAACCTTCTTTCTCAAAACAACCTCTGCATGTAATAATTTGATGCATTTTACATAGAAATTTACTGCATCTTAGGCAAGTTATTGTTGTCTTTTGTCCAAATTTCGGGGGCATAAATTGCATCTTCCTTTTCCAGTCTTTTGTTTCTTTTTTGGTTGTTGATCTTCGGCATCAATATTGGAAGTAGAAGCTGATAAGTCATTAATCTTTAGGAGAATACATCCCCGCTGTTTAATATCTTTTGGTACATTTTGAGAATAAATCCTCTTCAGTATTTGTGGCCGCACAAGCTCCGCCGAAATATTTTTTATAAAGAATTCTCTTTTAATTTTCTCAAATTTATTATTCATTGCATGCAGGCAAAGCGCATTGATACCTGCAATATTCAGGATATCGAAGAAAGCTGTAAGTGGCCAACGCCTACTATTTCTTGCCACATCATAGTGTGCACACAATTTATCTACAGTATCCACACCCGATTTTGTACGATTATACTCAAGCACAATTTCTGGTTTCAGGGAATCTTTATCTACTTCGCAATCATGGTGCATTGTGGATAATAATAATAAAACGTTCCTATATTTTTTTGGAACATAAGAGACTAATGTACAGTAATCTGTGAAGGCAAAAATGCTACTATTTTCAGTACGTGAACGTGTGTTTGTAAATTCTAAAGGGACTTCCCTCTTGTTCTTTTTTAGTGTGCCAATCATGGTAAGCTTATCCTTGAGCAATTCTTTAGCAAGAGGGATACTTGAAAACCAATTGTCCATGGTGATATTTCGTCCAGTACCTTTCAACGGTTCCACAAGCCGCTTTACGACATCCGACGGCTTATTACTGACTAAGAATGGCCCTTCAGGTTGTGCTCCAGCATAAATCTCTAAATTATAGGTATACATTGTTTTTACATCAGCCAATGCGTATATCTTCAGACCATATTTATTGGGTTTATTAGGTATATATTGTTTGAATGGGCACCTACCACGGAAAGCAACCAGCTGTTCGTCGATTGTCAAATAAGAACTTGGAATTACTGAAGTTCTGCACTTGAAGACAAAACGTTCAAAGATGTCCCTTATTGGTGCCAGCTTATCCAAACTCCGTCTTGCCTCCCTAGTAGAAATATCATCAAAGCGTATACAACGACATAAAAACCTAAAACGATTGTAGCTCATCGTAATGTATATGTGTTCAATGCCTGAACCATCTGTGCTCCATAAAGATAAGACATTCTGTCGGCCAGATTTCAAACAACCAGCAAGATATAGAACGCCTACAAATGCTTTCATTTCGCAAACATCAGTTGGTCGCGCATCTCTTTTACGGGTAAAGTTTCCCCGGAGTTTTTCTATATATATATTGGTACATTCTACTATTCTGGTAAACATGGAATCATCTATGAAAACGTGGAAACAGTCTAAATGCGATTTGGCCTTTTTTGCGTCTCCAGTAGGCCCTGGAATTTTCATGACGAGGTTATGTGCTTTTGTCCTAGATGAAGATGGTTTTGTTTTCTGCCATATAAATGTCTTGTCTTTCCCTACATATATGTCAGTTCCGCTCAATATATTTTCTGCTTGTAATTCACCTTCACTACCTTCATTATCAGAATTTGGGTCCTGCTCAGTATCTGAAGCGCTTCTTTGTACCTCTTCCTGGTCGCCATCATCTTCTTCCGAGTCTTCTTCCCCGTAGACCTCCTCGTCGGACTCTATTTCTTCAAACCATTTTAGCCACTGCTTGGGATCATTGCTACGTGCGTTGTCCATGGCTTTGCCTTGGAAAAGTTGAAAATATTTATCAGAAATACGTCAAATACTTTAAAATATAACCTACCAAAACTTTTACGTCAGTACTCGCGTGGGGTACGTAAAGACCCCAATCAACTTCAATTGCATATTCTTCAACCTTCTCGAACTCAAATGACACTCGGTGCTAGCAGATATAACTACACACTGAATCTAAGGAATACGCGAGGCGGCGAGCTATTTCGCATTTCCCCCTCCATAGTACTCAACTATGAATGACGCGTGGGGTATATAAATACCCCGCGCGAGTACTGAAGGGTTTAGGCGGTTGCTTAGAGATCTTGGATTTAAGTGGCTTAAGGACAATCCGCGACGAGGGCTCATGGAACTACCAAGTATAGCTTTGAAAAGGATGGAATTTCTAAGGCAATACAATCAAGCCAAGGTTGAGGCCTTATACCAGTTTGTCTTCCTCGATGAAACTTGGATATTTCAAAATGGGACCATAGGTCGCTCTTGGCAAAATGGAAACCAAAAAAGCGTGAAAGCTATTAAAACAGATGGTAAAAGGTATGTACTTTTACACAATTTGCACTATAAAATTTAAAACTAATATATTTTAGATACATTATATTACATGCTGGAAATGAAAATGGGTTTATTGAGGGTAGTGAAGCGATATTTTCTTCGAAAACAAAATTGAGCGATTACCATGGAGAGATGAACCAGGACAATTTTTTGAAATGGTTTCAACATCAGTTATTAGAAAATTTGGAGAGTCCATCTATGATTATACTGGATAACGCCCCTTATCACAGCATGATATTGAACAAAGTGCCCAACAATGCATGGACAAAAAAAATATCCAAGACTGGTTGACAAATCAAAACATACCATTTTTAAACACAATGTTTAAAACAGAGCTATTGAGTATTGTTGCTCGGTACATAATGCTTCTTAATTATATATATTTTGGTCGACAGTTTATATTTCTTTTGTTTACTCCTATTCTTAAAATAACTACTTTTTTAGAAACAAACCACCTAAAATATACGTGATTGATGAATTGGCGGAACAACATGGGCACAAAGTTCTTCGTCTGCCTCCTTACCATTGTATATTTAACCCTATTGAGTTAATTTGGGGCATAGCAAAAGGTTACTATAACAGACATATTGGTAGAGATGGTAACAGTGAAAAAGACTGTTTGGATATGTGGAACGAGGCTCTACAAACGGTTACCCCAGACATGTGGAAAAATAGTGTTCGACATACTGAGCAA